ATTTTAAAGTCTAAAAGGGCTCGCGGGGGAGGAGAACGGGCAGATGGAAGCTCTCCCCCACCCAGAAACGGGCGTTTCAAGGGGACCTAGCTGGCGCGCCGAACCCCCTCTCCCCCCCCCCCCACACCGCTGATAGTGGCAATCGCTGTAAGTAATGTCGAGACTCATCTGCTTGGGGGACTTGGGGATTTGCAGAGGGGAAAACAGAATTTAATTTTTAAAAAAGGACTCTTTAATTTCAAGAACAAACTCCCCCACGAAGTGCTGACCTCCCAGCTGCTGGTTCCTGCATCCGGGGCCGCACGCTGGGCACCAGCCGAGTCATTAGTGTCTTGTAAGAACGGTAAATTATTGTCCAAAAAAATAAATAAAAGACTCCGCGCCCGCTGGCGGCCCCCGCTCGCACGCAGGCCCACCGCGCAGGTGACAGGATCTGCATTTCGCTTGCAGCCTACCTGGAGGAGATCCAGTCGGTACGTCGCCATACTGACAGCGTGCTGGAGGAGGCTGGCCGCCGGCCGCCGCCCGTCATTGTGCACTGCAGCGCCGGCGTGGGCAGGACTGGCGTGGTCATCCTCTCCGAGCTGATGATCTACTGCCTGGAGCACAACGAGGTGAGTCCCAGGCCCCCCCGTGACCTTTCCAGGGCTCCGGGTGCAGCCCCAGAGCGAGCAGAAGAGACGGAGGCGGGAGGGAGCCCGTGGGGGGTCTGATCTCAGTGGGGTGTGTGGGGACGGCGGCTCTCATCCTTCAGACGGAGGGTGTGTGTGTGTGTAGAACGGGGGAGCGGGCCAGAGGGCTGGGGGAGGGGATGAGAGGACTCCCCAGAGACAGAGTGGGGGGCAGAGCAGGCGGACCCACTGAAACACACTGCTGAGGGGAGCAGCGGGGAGACAGGAGGGGTCTGCTGGGCCCTGGGGGGCCCTTCCCGGCCGGGGATCGGCCTGAGACTCACCCCTAGACCCCCAGGGGAGCCCCCGCCAGAGGGAGGCTTTTCACGAGGGGCTGTGTGGCCCCGTCTGGCCTGGCCAAGGCGGGTGCCCAAGGGGCACCCACAGGACTGGGTGATTCTTCCCTGCGGCCCTTCTGGAAGTTCACCGACGGGCGTCGGAAATTGCGCAGATGACACAGTTACCAGCCGTGGAAACTCTGGAGTGACTTGCTCAGGGCCACAGCTGTTGAGCGGTGGAGCCCAGCTGAGCAGAGAGCCCCCCCCAACCCCGCTCTGGCCGAGATCTGGTTCCCCCCGGAGTCAGTTGCTCACGTAGAAACTTAGAGGAGAATCAGCCGTGCAAACAGCTCATCGTGGTCACTCAGAGCACAGGAGACGGTACTGCCGGACTTAGGGGGTCCCCACCCCGCCTGGCGAGCGCGAGCAGCAGCCGGGGACGTCCCTTGTGACGTTAAAGCTCCTCGTTGAGCAAGCCGAGCGTCCGAGTGGACAGTCCATCGTCTCCCGGCAGTTTTACCCTGTGTCTCACTGCTCTTGCTGGCCTCCGTCACTGTAGAAGTCTCTGAAGTGCACACTGGCGCGGGTCTCCTGCACTGGACGACAGAGCTGTCCGTCTGGGAGGTGGACAGCGGAGTTGTTGTTCCGGGAGGGAAGATGAGCTCCCCCTGCCCTCCGTTACTTTCCTTGTGATCCCCCTGCCCACACGTTCTCCCTTCCTCTGCCCCGCCCCCCGCCGCTCCTGTTGGGGTCCAGCCGCCCTCCTGAAGTCCCTCTGGCCCAGCCGAGCATGGCAGCTCCTGGAACTGGGCCAAGCCCAGCGGGCGTCCCTGTCCACTGGCGGCCAGCTGGCCTCTGCCGAGGTGCGGTCCGCCTGAAAGGGGCTTCGGTTCCCGCTGAGGCTCAGAGATGGGCGGCTCGGGCCTTCCCTTCCCCGGCACGGGCACAGCCGCCTCGCTGTTCCCCAAACCCGCTCGCTGGCGGGGGGATCTGGGGGGCACATGTCTGCTTGGCCGAGGCTGTCCCGGCGGCGGGGCGGGTTCAGGCCCCGGTTTGGCAGAAGAGGGGATCCGGGTTTAAGACTCACCTATCCATGCAGAACTGGGGTGTAGGCCAGAGGTGCGGGGGGTCAGACGACTCACCAGAGACCGTGGGGAGCGGAAGGTTCTGACAAGCGCCGGGGCCCTGGCCCCCTTCCCTGCCTGGCATCTGGCCCCCTCCCTCTGTTTCCAGCCGCATCTCATGCCCTTCTCCTTCTTCCGTAAGGTGACACCCCCTCTTTCTGGAGCAAGAGGAAGCTACTGTGATGCCCCGGGTGCTTTCACGTGCACCTTTGTTAGGAACGTCCTAGTCGGGTGGCCGCGAGGTGCCCCTCGGCCCCTGGACTCCCCTCAGGCCCACATGAGCTGTTTACAAGAGGGCCTGGCGTCGCCGGCCGAGGAGGGAGACGTGCAGATTTGCTGCTTTTCGAACGAGCTGGCCTTCTGCGCCACTGGGGGAGGGGCCTTCTGGCGCGTGGGCCCTGCCCAGTCCTGGGTGGACAGATGCTCCCCAGGGGATCGCCCAGCGTCCGAGCACTCACCTCAGAGGCCAGCCAGCCTGGGCTGGGCTACACTGGCCTGAGGGACACACCCTG